TCTCTCTACAAAGGTGGGTACCAGTGTAGATGTAAGAGGAAGGAGTGGTACGCTGCGATGAGCGCGGCTTTGGGCAGTCTCCCGGGTATCTCGATTCCATGTCGGCCGATACGACAGCTTCGTTTTGTCACGCAATTGAATGGGCCTCCGGGCAGCCGTGGTCGACTGGCAAAGTAGGCTTGCTCGGTGTGAGTTATTTTGCCGGAACGCAGTGGCGTGCCGCCGCGAGGAGACCTCGCGGCCTGGCCTGCATCGTTCCCTGGGAAGGCATGTCCGACTACTATCGCGACCGATGTCGGCACGGCGGTATTCTGTCCGACAACTTTATCCGTTTCTGGTGGAACCGGCAAGTCATCACGAACCAGTACGGTTTGCCTGGCAGGGCGGAAAAAGATTGGGGTGAGGATACCATTGAGGGAGACTTGTCCGACGAAGAGCGCGAGAAGGCTCGATGCGACCAAACCATCGACAACGTGTCGAACAGGTTCCGCGATGAATCATACTATGCAACGCGGGACTTTCGCTTGGAGGACATAGATGTGCCACTGCTGTCGGTGGCCAACCTGGGCGGCATTGGCTTACATCTACGGGGAAACGTTCACGGGTACATGTACGCCGGTTCCGAGTTTAAATACCTCCGCTTCATTGTGGGCCGTCACGATCTTCCTTTCTACTATGAGGAGGAGGTTGAACTCCAGCTCAGTTTCTTAGACGCGTGGTTGAAAAACGAAGACCGCGAGGGCTGGACGCAGCCGGGCAAGGTCAACCCCGTGAGTCTCATTTTGCGCAAAGGCAATGTCGGCTATGATAACGAAGAGTCTGAGAAATCATTCCTACGGCGCGAAGAGATGGATTGGCCCATAGCGCGCACCGACTACAGGCGTTATTACCTGACCAGAGAGAATGGGCTTGAAGTGGCTATGGATAGCGGTGATTCAGCGCGGTTGACGTATCCAGCCCCGGGAGGCGTCCACGAGCAGCACAGGGTGCACTTTACCTCGGCGCCATTTGCAACTGAGACGGAAATCACAGGTCATATCGTCGCGCACTTGAATGTGTCCATCAGTGCCACCGCTCAGATGGAAAGCACTCCGTGTGACATGGACCTGTTCGTCACACTTCGTCATCTCGACGCAGAAGGAAACGAGATCCTGTACACCGGGACGGTCGGGGACCCTGTGCCAGTGGTGAAAGGGTGGCTGCGTTGTAGTCTTCGCAGAACGAACCCAGAAGACGCGCGACACCGCCACTACCTCCCGTACCGCGAGTACCTTTCCACTGACGAGGAACCGATGATGCTCGATGAGATTTACGAGGTAGACGTTGAAGTCTGGCCTACATCGGTCGTCATTTCGCCAGGACATAGGCTCCTTTTCGAAGTGTCATCGGGGGACACAGACGGCAGCGGGCTGTTCTTGCATCAGGATCCTGTTGACCGCGACAAGAAACGCTTTGCAGGGCTCAATCACATTCACTTTGGTGATGGGAGACAGAATTATGTACAGCTGCCTATAATTCGTATGTGAACCTGTCAAGGGCTCCGAGCGCGTCTCAGAGGGCTTGGGCACTGCCAACGAACGTCGAGTTCGGCTGCTCTCTCCCCTCTCTCGAAACAGAGCCGGCAAACACAGATGCGCTGGATTACTGTATCATTTTTCCACAGAGGGGAATGCGTCCAATTTCGGCCAAGAGGTCCCAACAAAGCAGGGCAAACAAGAGGCGCATTCCCACCAATGAGCCACCACGCACGGCGGTACACGTCACAGGCTGTGCAGGGCAACGGTCGGCCTTGTATCATGGTGCAGATTGCGAATGCGTTTTTTTATTCCGCGCGCTGTCTCATTGGCTCAAGCATCCCGTACACTTTGGAGCGGTCGGAGTGTGTGCGGAGGAAAAAGGATAGCGCAGCCACTGGGCGCGGGAAGGATCTGGGGTAAGGACCCCCCGCTGGCCTCTGTAGGGGTTGGCAAGAAGAGACATCAACTAATGGAGCTGTGAAAAGATTCACTGATTGAATCTCTTCTAGATTCCAGAAATGAGTCTCTAAGAGTCAGCTTGGCTCTTTCGCAGTCACAGCCCGTACTCCAATTCTACGGCTAACTACCTAGTAATAATAGGAAAAGCTATTATGAATCATAATAACAGCCTAGGCTAATAGGAATCTTTACTCTGCTTTCGAACCTAAATTCATCTATATAACTTATAATTACTACTAGTCTAAGTCACTTTCTATACATAAAAAGCTGTGCGATAAGAGTCCTTACGAACGAATATAGGATGAGGCGGTATATGCGCTTAATCAATATAAATATATAATTGCGTGTCATTCACTAGAGGTTTAACACCGTAAAAGCAAATAAATTCACTATTTCCTGCTATATCTCTGACGTAAATTTCTGCCTGGAAATGGAGAATTTTCGCGTTCGTTTGCCTTTTTCCACGAGGCTCACCCCAAGCTCTGATTGCCGTAGGTGCCTACCTACATTGCCACGCAACGTCCTCGTAGTCTTGTTCCATTGCTTTTTCTTGAGGGCGAAAGAAGGGATTGAAGCTGAAAAGATGAATTAAAACAAGAATTTGACCAGGAAAATGTCACGGAGCGTGAAGGTGTGATGGGAAATGGCGGGAGATGGGGGGACTGGTTAAGGTGAGGGCCGTCCAGATATCCTCGCTAGATATCTGCCCGCCAGCGCTCAAGTATCTCTTGGGTAAAATCCCGATGCTATAGGGCCTCGAATGGTCGTATCAATTCAATACTCAGCCGTTTAAGACACCTCGCGTGTTTAGGGCCATTCATCAGTCTACGTTTGCCCTCCTGGCCAGAGGCGATCGACGCGGTCACCGGCGATCCGACCAAGTTGCGCGGTGTTGGGGACCTTGTCCAGTCCTTGGTCAACTACTGTAAGTAGCTCTTCTCTTAATAGCAGCAATGATCTCACTCTTCCAGTTTTAACAGGAGGCATTCCCAAACAAACCGCCGCCGCCGCCGCCGGCAATACCGCGACCTCTACCGACCACGAGAGTGCCTCCGACACTGCGCCCTGGCAAGCGATTACAGCTCCCAAGTCCGCAGTGTCCGACACTACAGGAGAAAACGAAACCTCTACGGAAGAAAAACCGGCCAGCAGCAGTGGCGACGGGGAAAACATCGTAAGCCGCACACTCGGGAGCTATGAGGGGCACACTCCTTCGACTCTCGGGAAAGCACGCTCGGGCCGAGCCGCCGCCGCCCAGACCGGACCAGCCGGACACTAAGAGTCGCAAGCCGGAACCCACGGGATCTTACCCGGAACCTATGTAAGCCGGAACCTAAGCCGGAACCACTCACGGCCAAGGCCAGACCCAAGGAGCGCAGCCAGAGAACTGCCTCTGATGCTAGTCAGCATGCATGATACACTCCCCAATACGAGCATACTAACCACTTGTGACCAGGCCAAGCGCCGCGACCGCTACAAGTGCCTTGTCACCCACAACAAAGGCGGCATCGACGCAGCACATATCCTGCCCCATGCTATGAACGCCGCTGAAGATCACGTCTCGTTCTTCAACGCCGTAGTCCCTCACTTGAACAACCATGTTTGGCGAGACCTTTGCAAAAAAGACTCACCGATCTTGTGGGCTCCAGAGGCGCTTCGGATAAGCTGTGGAACGTGTTGACCCTCAACACCTATGTACATCGACTCTTCGATATGGGTTTGATAGGGTTCCGTCCGAAAAAGATTGCCAAGCACAAGTCTCTGGCCGACGAGCAATTCTGTGTCCATTTTAGCATCCACTGGCTTTGGAAGACCAAGGTTTTAGCTCAACACGAGGTATCGCCGACCAACCTCACCTTGCACTGGGCATTCCTCAAAACGGAGGAATATCAGCACAACGAGAAACACTATGAAATCTACAACCCGGTGCCGCAAAAGTCTGTCTGGGACGGAACTATCGTCTGCGTCCTACAAGATTCCTTGGAGGATGCTCAGAAGATGTACGATTACCTGGCTGTGAGCTGGGTTATGCGGATGATCGTGTTTTTCGCAGGGGCCGCCGGTTCCCGGATGGGGATCCCAGAAAAGACGAGGAATTCCGAGAGAGCGAGGATACCGAGGGCTTCTGGGATCAGGTCGAAAACCACGAGGCCATTCTCAACGAGTGTTTTGGTCGGACTTCATAATGTCCATATTTAGACAGCATGGACGCCGCTCAACCATGGACGCCGCTAAACGAGAAGAACTTCGTATAAAGGGCAAGAGGCTTTACGCGACAGCCGGCGGGAACTACTTGCTCTCGAAAGCGTGCGGATTTGTCTCCAAAAATTCATCACCGATTCGGCCTCAACGCACAATGGACCATTCATACTGAATCACCCTGATTTGCATTTATGCAACATCCTTGTCGACGACTCCCTGAATATTCAGGGCATTATTGACTGCTATTTTGCCAACCCCGTCCCGCTGATTCTTTAATCCGCCTCTGTGGGCAATACATCAGGTACCAGGGTGTACCGAGCTGAGCAAATCATTCTTTCTAGCGCTTTATGAAGAGTCATACAAGGATGTCCGATTTGAGGACCTACTTCGGGAGTGGTATAGCCAACTGGAACGCTCGCTGGACGCAATATCTAAAGGACTGCGGAATGTACGAGCCGAAGGAACAAACTGAAAGCTAGGCTTTCTTTCCCGTTTATTTCCCCTCTTGTCTCTTTGATTTCGTGCCGTTGTTTCCCTTTGCTATATCCGCAACGTCTCTCTGCGTATGCCAAGTTCGTATCCATCTCTGCTCCGTGAGCACCCCTTCCATACCAACAACGTTCACTTGTTCCTGTAACAATTTGGCAGCGCTCAAGTTCCTATTCCGCCTTGATTTGCTTGCGCTATTGATCAAGGCCAGCTGTGTGGGCTCGGGCAGGCTCACGATGGCCTCCGCCTGTTCCTTGCGGGCCTCTATCCTGTCGTAGGTCTCGCCCCATTCTTTGCTGTCCGGTTTGATAGTAGTCTTTTCCAGGACTTCTTTAGTAAGGGGCATAATATCTCGCAACATGCTCACAGAGTCCTTATGTGCTGGGGTAGCAGGTTGGGGAAGATGCTGCATGCGGTCCGCGACGAGGAAGGGGATTCGGTTCTGGTCGTCGGTGTGTCCGTCGCCTCCCACTTCTTGGCGGTTGTCTGGAGTCTTTTTATACTTCCCAGCACCATCCAGCCTGCGACGGTCCGTGAAGTTGGTGCTCCTCACCAACACCTCTGTGTCGCCTTGCACCAGCTTGCACCAGCTTGCACCAGCTTGCACCAGCTTGCCCGCAGGATTCGGGACGCGATACCTAGTCCCAGGCCATACTCGCGTCCGATGAACTCTCATAAATGGTAAGACAGCTCTAGCAAGCGGTCTAAATGGAAGCTTTGAGGTGTCTCCGTCTGGGTAGCCGAAAACGGCAGCCCAGCGCGCCAGCACATCGTGCCACCATGTTGTGGCAGGCCGTGGTACGCACAGCTACATCTAAAAGGAGACACACGTTCAACAAGAGGATAATACTGGCGTTGGATGCCCAGCCCGGCAAAATAGACTGGGTTTCGACTCGGTTTTTGTGCTTCTCCAGTAGTGGCTGGAAGGCAGCGCACGACGTAGCACGGAGTCAAAACTCAGGTCTGACCGGCTGCTGTCAATATAATCTACGGCTGTGACTTGACCCTTTGCGACTTACTCCTGCTCATTTAATTCAATGTTCCCCATGTGCAACCGCTTTTTCCTGCTTTTTGTGGTATTAGAGCGAAGTGTTTTGTCTGAGTTTGGCTTCAAACGTCGGGGAAGATGTACTCAGAGCTTCGATACCCACCAGCTATAGAAACGCAATGAAGCTGACTGTAAGCTACTTTCTCAAGGTCTAATTGGATTTACTTTCTTTGTCTTAGAAAGAAGTTTACAACCAAGTCTCAACAAGTTGCGACCGCGATGTGGTGTCACAGTGAACGGGAGTGAGCCGCCGCCCTTGCCTTTGCGTCGCGAGGGCAACACGGACACGGCTATTTTGGGCCGCCATAAGGTAAAAAACAATCATCTAGAAATATCTTCGAGTCAGCAACCGCGGCCAGTCTCGTAGGTCATCAGCCTCGAGTCCGTCGTTGCCTGAGATGGCGCACAAGCGGCAGATGAAGCAAGCCCTGGTACCAGGAATTTCTGTGACACTGGCGGACTGGCTGTACTATGTGATCGGCAGCAATCTTACATTACCGGTACTCGATGAGCAGAATGGTGAGAGAATTCTCTACACAAGGCCATGAGAGCTCATTTTACCGCATTGCCCCATCGCCCGAAGTCGGAGGACTCTCGCGACTGGCGAGGCTTTCCTCCGCAGCTGACTGCGGGGATACACGGTTATTTTGGTAGTCTGATACCCCCAACTCTGGCCGTATTGCCGGCTATCCTCGTGAAGCTTGAATCATCAGCTGCCTCATTCGCATCACGCGTCCTTCACAGTGAGATTTCACCCGAGTACACCCGACATTGTGCTGTCAACCTCACCATGAGAATTGCCGCATCAACATCTGCCGTCTGCGGCGTCCTGTTCGAGCTCCTTAATCCGGACTCGACCCTGTGGCTGAAGCAACATAGCGATCGTGAGCTGTGCCTCTCCAGGTTGGAGTACCGCCCAACCCCGCGTACCCCAGGAGATTACCCCAAGGTGACCCTGACAGTTACCCCGAAAGTTACTTCATGGGGCTCTATTTATCTCCAACTATTACATAATAGCTCGATTCATCTCTTATTTCACATTCCCTTTTGGTTGCGAAAGTGGGACGATACGATTCGCTTTTGGTCCGTCGACGTCGACCGCCACGTGGTGGTCACAGAGGACAACTATCGTGATGCAGACAAACTTGCGGAAGAGCCCGCGTTGTTTTTTCTCGACTTTGCGGATAGAGCGGCCCTCCAACCTTGATAAGTGCCATCTCCAACATGATCGGCGCCGTTTGGGGGGCAATTACCTAAACCGGAAGGTGCCTCATCGACCGTTCAACTTTTAGAGTCGCGACTTGACCTCATACGGGAAGGTTACCAAATTCAGGGCTGTTTCGCGAATCTTTATCCGATAGATGCTTCCGGGTAATTGCCGCCCACCAGCCATAATGTAAATCTTTCTAATAACATTGGCAAAAGGAAACTCATTTGACGCTAACACATTGCAGTTTTTGGAGAAGGCGATGGGGTCGTGATGCATTCTAGAAAGACCTATATAAGGAGGGAGGGACGACTGGATGTATAGCTGGTCTATACTGACTGCAGTTTGACTTGAGAGCATCTCTACCGGCACGCAATGCATTACGCTACTCTTCTTCTCGCCGCCGCTGCGGCCTTGCCCAGTGTTTCTGGCCGTACCACTCTTCATACTCGCAATGGCAAGCCTGTTGTCGAGACCACCACCCTTGCCAACGGCCAAGTTATTGACTGGGTCATGTCGGACGAAGTTGCGCCTCCTACAGGAATTGAAGACACTCTGGACCAGGTGACTAGGCCTCTTAACGGTCCTAATGGAGCCGTGCCATACCTTCGGCCCAGCCCGGCCTTCGCCAGCAAAGTCAAGACCCTACCTGATCAGCAAGAGGCCCTGTCCAAACGGTCGGTTCCACTGAATCACAAGTATGTCTTTACTAAACAGGCCGTGTCCAACCATGGCGGCGGAGCAAGCTTCAGTCTCTACGACCCGTACCTTCAAGACACCAACAGCGACTTCTCCTTGATCCAGCTCGCTGTCAGTAACACGAACGTGTACAATTCGACAAACCAGAACATCCAGCAAACCTTGGAGGCGGGCTGGCAAAAGTACCCCGCCTTCAACCCTCCCGAGGTTCACTTCTTCACCTTCTTCAATACCAACGGGTACAACGGCATCGGCAATGGCCTCGCCGGCTACAACCAGGACGTCAAAGGCTGGGTCCAGCTCGACCCGAACGTGCATCCGGGTTACTCCGGCTGGACCCTTTCAATCGACGGTAACAGCAGCGCCCAGTACGACGTCGACATGCGGTACTCCCTCGTCGGCGACAAGTGGTACCTGGCCATCAACGGCCGCAACATCGGCTACTACCCGGCGTCGCTGTTCCAGAACGGCAACATCGCGCAGGGCTCGTCGACCTTGCAGACGACGGCCGACCACATGGCCTTCTACGGCGAGATCTACAGCACCAACGCGTACACGACGACCGACATGGGCTCGGGCGAGTTCGCCAACCAAGGGTACGCCAAGGCGGCGTACATGCGCAACATGGTGTACGTGGACACCAGCGACGCGACGCAGAACTACTCGCCGCCGTCGAGCAACGACATCGTCACGGACAGCAGCGCCTACACGATGGAGAAGCACTTCAACTCGGGCGTCCAGGACTGGAACAGCTACATGTTCGTTGGTGGTCCCGGCTACGGCGGCAATGTCGGCTCTTGAGCAGGTCGAAAGGCTCTCAACTGGGGCTGGGGGTTCTCCGCCGGTCGAGCTCTGGGATATCCGCCGCGGCCATTGCATGCAAGAGTCGGTCAGCAGGTCGAGGACTCATCGAGGGATTCTTGACTGGTTGAACACTAGGATAGTCGGATTTCACGGCCTTTTTTTCCCACGAAAAGTTAGCAGTCAGCCGGACCCCGACTCAGGGGGTATGGGTTTTACATACAATGTTTCTATCGAACAATTTTACTTTCTTTTGACTGCACGCAATCATCTCTCACCACATCTTAAGTAAACTGCCGGCCCGATTCCAGGTTGCGTGAAAGGAACTCGACTACTGGCTGTTTAATAGCGACTTAGTTTGCGAGGAGAGTTCAAGCAGATTCTCAAGGCAGAAGGGGACAGAAAGAAACAGATGAGAGTTCAGGCTGAAGTCGCGATAAGGAACAATGAAGCAAAATTGATGCACCCAGCAATCTAACAATCACTGTGTTCACTGGGAGGAAGAATGTATTTTCCCCGCAAACCCAATTTACTGTACGAATCAGAGGTTACTTCCAGTGACGGCCTCGGTATTGATAAGCCTGGGTTCCTCCCAACTCACCCGGACAGCCCCCATTTGCTAGCTTCATTTATGTAGTCACACCAATTTAGCCCAAGACGAGCCTTGCGAATAACCTCATCCAACAAAAATAGTTTGCAGCTGTGATAAGGGAGGTACTCACGCCAAAGGGGATGGGTGCCGTAAAATAAACAGCGATTGCCGCACGTGACGGCACGGGAGGGAAGTCAGAGCAGAAATGGATGCGAGCACAGCGACAACAGACACAACTTCTCCTTTCTATCCGTAAAGCCTCGGGGCATTGCTTTTCTTCACCGCGTCACCTTGCGTGTTGAATAGCCATGTACTTCACCCAATGGCTTTGGCAGGCCATCATCACCCACTGTAACAGAGCTGCAACCTTCTTCGCGCGACGGCTTGGCCGCCTCCGCCAAACAGCAGCGGATGCAAACGTCCGTCGTCCGTCCGTTTCTAACCTTCACCTCTTTATCAAGACCAAACTAACGTTTTCCCATCAATAGACTCCCAATCCACACATATGCCCCCGCTCAATCACATACCACCGACGACCCGGGCCGTGGCGGTGCGACTTGCTGCCAGCCCTGCCCGACCACGTCTTTGTCCTCCAGGGCCCGGATACGATATCCTACAGAGAAGTGTACTTTCATACCAAGGGAGACTACCTGTGTACAGGAGCGACCGCGTTCGTGGACAGGCTCCCATCCGGCCACATCATCAAGTACCCGAAGCCGAATCCATGGTGCCCCGAAGAAGAGGATCGATGCCGCCAGCAGATGGGGACTGAGGCGGAAGCTTACAGACGCATTGGCGACGGTTCGGCGCGTGCCGAAGCTGATCCACTGAGACGCCAGCTCGTGCTCCCTGGTGCTGGAATTTCTCGCCATGGGCAACCTGCAATCATACCTCGATAGTCACAACCAGGAGGTCACCTCCGAGCAGAGACGGGTGTGGATGAGGCATGCTGCAGAGGCAATGGCCGTTGCGCACTCACCGGCAATCATACACTGCGACCTCACCCCGCGCAACTTCCTCCTAAACGACGCGCTCGAGCTGCATCTCTCCACCTTTGCTAGCTCCTCGGTCGCCGGCTCTCGGCCGTCCAACACAACGAGCGCACAGTTCTAGCGACTAGGCTGGAGCTGGGAGCCCGCCTACGCGGACGACCTCTTTGCGCTGGGCTCTGTGTTATACTTCATTCAGACTGGCCACAAACCGTACCGCGACGTTCCTGAAGATGAGGTACGGGAGCTTTTTCAGGCAGCGGCTTTCCCTGATATCTCTACGTTGGACTACGGCAGCACTATTCACAAATGCTGAGTTGGAGAGTTTAGTGCTGCGCAGCAAGTTATCGACGCTTAAGCCACAGCTAACGAATACCAACACTGATAATGATCACAATCATCCCTACAATTATTAGCAGTGCTCTGAAGGTTAGTGGTACCCCGCGGAAACCACTTTTTCCTACACCATCGGCTGCTCGCAGCCAATAAAGCAACACATTACAACCACGTCTACGGAGTACGGAGTACACACATCCCAAATGGCAATGTTGCTCTTTTCGAAGACGGTATATAATCAGCCCAAGGGCCTTCATCAACACTGGGCTAAAGGATTTCATTGGTTTCACTGCAGAAGCGAACCCGGCCATTGGTGCGACTATAAAGATTTGTGCGATACTGGTCACCGGAGCAACATTTTATCGTTTGCTTCCTCACATCCTTCGTCACACGGTTTAACCTCGACGAGTTGATCCTTAAAACATCAACACCAGAAAGCCGTAAAAGCGAGGCCATGGATTTCCAACAAATTCATCACTGGTTGGATGCAACCGAATTCATCCTTGACGACGACGAGGACCGCAAGGCTAAGCGTCGCCGACTCAACCCCCCCGTTACCCCCCCATCTTCTGATACTCGTCCAAACAACGAAATGGACTCACCCCCGCGCGGTGATAACCCTTCTAGGTGGCCATTCGACGGCCACATACCATGGATCAAACGGCTGCAGACCAGCTTATCGGGACGAAGCCGCCACTCCGTATCCAGCGTCTCGGACAAGCCGCTGTCGCAGCGCTCTACGCGAACCCCATCGCCGCAGAAGCAACTGCGTAAACTGCAGCTCAATCCCCGCGGCCTCGACGTGCGGTGTCTGTCTGGAGTTGCGGGTAGCCGACCGCTCGCGCTACAGACGCTGCTCGAACACATCGAAACGTTTGCTATCGATCAGGGCATCGTAGCGAGGGACATGGAGGAGGAGCTCACCAAGGCTGCAGCTTCCGATGCCCGTTTCAAGTGGGCCCTCCGAGCCGGCGCTCCTCATGTATCGGACGATGAAGGCTTGGCCGGCAGGACTCCATCACCAGGCGCGGTGCGCAAGGTCATGAAGGCGGCGCGGGAGTGCGATGAGAAGCACCACCCGGAAGCAAACTGGAATCTCGAGGTTCACCAGCGCATCCTTGACATGGCGTTTCGCCCAGCGGAGGAGGGAGAAACGGAAACTAGTAATCTCATCGACTTTATGGGATGGTAAGCCCTCCGCCTTTCGTTTTCTTGCTTACGACCCCCTCGTTCGTTGGCGACGGCCGGCTAACTAGGATGCAGCTCGACCGCTTCCATAATTGGATATTATGGCACCCCGACGCTGTCGAAAAAGGTCGACTTCTGCGTGTACATTGAGCCCAAGCAGGATACCTCCGCCACTTTCGAGGCAGGAGCTACCTACGCGCGGATGGCGATGCCTCAAGAAATCGTCAACTTTACTGAATTTGCGCCCCTATACGACCGCTTCATCGCGTTGAGCATCGAAACTAAGAAACCAAGCGAGAACTTTGAGGCGGCGCAGCTGCAGCTGGGTGTATGGGGCATGGCGCACTGGGAATTTTTGCGACGGTTGGCGGAGCTACACGCCAAGGTGACAGGTAACAAAGCTGGGACACCTGTGACAACTGGTACAGCTGGTAAAATACCAGAGTTCCTGCCTGGCATCATCGCTCAGGGTCATAACTGGTCTCTTGTCATCACAACCATGGAAGGGGACCGGACGGTGCTGTGGCACAAGGTGGCGATTGGGAGCACGGAGCAGCCGAGAGGCATATACCAGCTCGTTCGCTCGCTGCAGTACCTTGAGAAGTGGGCAAAGGAGGTGCACTGGCCGTGGCTGAAGGCGACGGTTGAGGGCATCGCCGCGGGCCTGGAGGATGTGACGGACCTTTAAGGCTTGTAGCGAATACCAGAATGTTCGGCCTTGGGGGCTGCTATTGCTCAACCTTTTTGAGGATGTTGTGGCCGATAGGTCGATAGGTAACTACTGAAATGAACAATCGAACGCTTAGTACTAAAGACTAGGGCTGACGGGCCGACAGCAAGGAGCCTTTCTCGTCCAGACACGTCCCGCTCAAACCGTACCAACTCACAGCTAGCCAGCGACTATCGAAAGCTCCGAAGATCTCGCGGGCACAATTGGTCATGTTATTTTCGTCACAATGTCGCGGCCGTATAGCTCAGGACGTACAGATACATGGCAGCAGCATCTGCAGACATCGTTCCCTCCGCTCAGCGAGGAACCTCGGTGCAGGAGGGACTGTGGTCGTACAGCTTCTCGGCACCGACCTTGACGCGCAAGGCTATGCCCGTAAGGCTGTCAAGAAGGCGCGAGCAGACATTGATCCCCATCTTCTATCTGACATCTCGGATTTCAGTCGGCGCTGAATGCATTAGATTTCTCAATTCCTCAAGTGACTGCGCTACCGTTGCGAGCGATGCAAGGTGGGCGGCCGGTCTTCAGGCTGAAGGGTCCTCCTCCATCAACATCGTATACATGTACTCCCTTCCGCTCAAGGAGACCTGTGCATCAAGACCCTGCCGGCGGAGCTGACCGGCGCTCCGTAGCGGCAGAGCCGGCTTCGGCGGCTAACTCGAAGAAAAGCTAACAACGAGCACATCGAGAAGTCAATATCGATACTTCCGCGGCTCGAGGCATTCCGAGGCGCCGGGTATATATAGAGCTCCTTGAGTCACCTCTGCGATCATTCTATTCTATTCACATCACCAAGTTCATCCATCCACTTCAAAGCTTCATCGGCCTTGCACCTCGACAAATCTACCATATCTCTTCAATACCTCTCAACATGCAATTCAAGACCCCCATTTTTGTCCTCGCCGCCATAGCCGGCGCCTCCGCTTTTGCCATCCCCGAGGATCTCGAGGACGGCATGTATAGCGTCAACCTGGTCGACGGCGAGCACATCTGGGAGAAGCTCAGCGAAGCCCCCGCGGCCCCCGAGGAAAGCACCCCGAACGAGGCCCGCGAGGTCGTCCGCGAGCTCACCACCCGCGACGACCGCCTCCGCTGCGGCTGCGTGAACCGCATGTCCGCCGGCGAGTGTGCGACTCGGCCGTCGGCGCCATCGAGGACTGGGCCAACCCGGGCCTGCACATCCCCGGCTAGGCAACGTGGTCAGCAAGTTCGCCGGCGTCGTCGCCTTTGTGTGCAACACGCGCGCGTCCGACGCCACGGTCTACCGCCAGCAGTTCGCGGACGCGTACAGGATCATCACGGACAACTGCGGCTATTACATGGCCGGCACCCTGGTGGGCGACGTCAACATCGGATACATGCGCTTGTGGGAGACGAACAACGACGTCTGCGCCTCTGCCCTCTACTCGAACAACCATCACTGCTAGACAGAGTTCGCCAATACTGTGCAGACGACTACTGTCAAGCCAGCTTAGCCCTTGAATCGGAGGTCTCCGCCTATTTAAAGTCAATACAGATATCGTTTTTTTTTCTTACTTGATGTGTCAAATAATGGGACCTTATACATCTGGCTGTGTTCCTCCTACATACACTAGTAGCTGCACGACATTTCTCAGCTGCATGACCACATTTGTGATGTACGTATGTACATACTATCTACATGCAAATCTACCCCTCAGTTGGGCAGAGACTAACACTGGCAATATTGCATCGATGCATCCTTTTCCTACTTACTTCCACGTCCATAGTCCGAGATAAGATAGTATGTGGGATTACTCCGATCTACAATTTGCCCGCCTTTCATGCGCCCGCGCCAGATGGTCACCAGATACCCAGGGAAGTATCGCTGCGCACCCAACCGACCGCAAGAGCGAGCGGCAAGCAGATGAAAGCCTCCCAGCCGCCCGCGTGCTATCTTGGGATGACAGAAACTTCATTGTCTTATGCCCCTTCTGCGGAGACACCCATAGACACGGAAATACGCCCTTTGTGCATGGCCCCCCAGATGGTTCTCTCCTCCAAGACGACCACGGTCGATATACCTGGGCCTACAGCCATCCCCGCCCCCACCTGTACAACACGCGCGTTACTCATTGCCAACATATCAGAACGCGGAGATACGTTACACTCTTTCCCTTTGAAGATGACTCACGGGTTACAGCGCTTTCCTTTGAGCTACGACAGAAGTATGACAGCAACGGCGAGGTGATCAAGGAAAACTTTGTCACAGTCGGACTTGCGAGCCCGGTCCTATCTGACGAAGAGGCCGATTCCTTCTGTGAAGATGAAGTCGAAACTCTTGGGCAAGAACTGCAATCTGCCAGTTTTGAGGATGGTGATTTTCACGTGGTCATGAAGTATGGGCTGAACAGCGAATTCGATGAGCACACTGAGCTCGCATCTGCCATGATTGTGTCTGCAGCTTGTACAGGCGACGCGGGAGACCTCGCAAGCTTCCTTGATCGCTCCCCCAATCGACATGCACTCATTCGAAAACAAGACGAGAAGGGTCGATCATTGTTGCACCTGGCAGTGCCAAATGGCCATCGCGATGTCGTTGAGTATCTGATAGGCGAGGGCTGCAACACGAATGCCGTGGACAAGCTAGGGCGCACTCCGTTGATGGAGGCGGCCCTTTGGGGACACCCTGATCTGGTGGAGATGTTGCTCGACGCCGGCGCAGACAAGGACAAAAGGGACAAGCGTGGCATGATTGCGGGTCGTTTCGCGGAAGAGTCTGCAAGGAATGAAAAGGAAAGGCATCAAAGAAGCACCATCAAGTATTCTGAAGACCCGTTCACCAAGAAACAAGACAGGACGCTGATCCGCACTTTGCTTCGACACTCGCCGCCTCCGCGCCCAAGCTACCAGTCAATCTCCGCCGGGGATCTTCAAGGCGCGTACTTTCACAAATCTCCCAGTGTCGGGACCATCTCCCTGGTCATGCCCCGTCTGGGCATTGAGCTCTTTAGCCAGCGGAAGACGGCGGCGATCCTGTTCCGCGGTGTCCCGTTCCCCCTTGTGGCGGCAGTGAGCGGTCGCACCGGCAATCCCGCCACCGAGTTCAGGGCGCCGGAGGCGGGATTCCAGATGCTTAGCGAGGGATACTGGGGAGGCAGCGAGAACTTTGGCGTTGCCGCAGACATGGGGTTTTCGTTTCCGCATGACGCGCGTGACGCGCGTGGCAAACCTGGTAGCTATTACGCCTCGCATGCGGAGGCGCAGCTCATGTGTTTCTTTGTTCGGAGGAATTATCTATTCCGGGAAGATCGGCCAATCAAGTCTGTGCTCGATGATCCGAACCCACCACCAGAGCCTGTGCACGATGACTTTTTGCAGCTGTTTTTAGCACAGCCAAGGAAGAGGGAGGCGACGATTGCGGTTAGCAAGGATCCCTGCTTTTCGTGCACAGCATTGAGAGACTGCATCGAAGAGAGGCTGGGTATTGAGTTCCTTCTTGCCTGCTTGCCTGTCAGATGAGCCAATATTATACTACAGGGCATATGTTAGCCACTTGTATCGTAAACAGTAGCTTTTGTTGAAAGGACGCCTTGTGCAGACATCTAGGTGGTGCTGCTCGACAACCTCGGCATGATCCGACCTTAATTACACCAGGCGCTCTGACCAGGCTGCAAGACAAATGCTGCTTGAGAACTGCCAGAGATAAAAACGACCTCTACTCAATACTTGACACAGCCTGGTCGGAAATTCGGCCTCGCAAAAAGCTATCCGACAGTGGCGGCAGATGTACAGGAGTGGAGGAGGAACTCAATTTTAGAAACAGAGCGGCATGCATGCATGTACAGATCAAATCAAAGTGCTCGGTAACAAAGTGGCTTCTTGGCTGTCTCAATACAACAAGACACTTCGATGTCAGGCGATCTAGATGGGACTAACTTCGGAGGACAAAATGAGAAGAAATACCCTAAGCTCCAAGAAACTTCATTGTTGTCAAACAAGCATGGATATGGCAGATCCAAGGAGTTTTTATAGTGTCGGGAAGCCGCCGAGAATGGGAGTTACATGGCCCGTGGACTGGACGGTCCGAATCGAAGACTCGACGCATCGGAATGTTGCTTGCCGACCTTTCGCTGCCTCCTAAGGATCCCGGTTACGCAGGACCAGGGGATGAGTTGTTTCCAAGATTTGACCGGGTTATTGTGAATGTTTCTGAGAAGGCGGAGCAGGATGTCCGCGATATCCGCATCGATGCGGTGAGCATCGATCTAGAAAAAGAATGTTTTGCACACAATCATTGACATTCAGGAAGAGCTCTCGATGATCAAACGCGTCATCTCGCAGCAGGAAATGGTTTTGGAAAAAGTTTACCAAGAAAGCTTGGCCCTTGTTCTGGGCGGCTGGCCAAGAGAGCCGGCTGGTGATCCCTGATAATATTCAGAAGATGCACTTGGAGGAGTGGGAGTTTATTCCAGGTGCACAGTCCACCTTTGGGGAGTGTTACCAGCGTATCGCGCAACTTGACGAAGATGCACAGAGAGTTGAGCGATCGATTACCCTCAGGTTGGACCTGAAATCGAAGCACGCAAACCTCAGGATTGCAAACTCATCAGCCATGCTGAGTGCTGTTGTGGTCGGGCTTCATAGTCGTCACTTTTGTCTTTACGCCCATGTCGTACAGGGCCTCGCTCTTTGCGCTTCCAATTACAACTCTCCAGCGAAACCAGTATTGATCTCCTTCTGAGAGCTCGAAAGCATATACCTCTACATATGTTGCGAGCGGAACAGGTGAGTTTTCACATTACCGGTACATCTAAAGATCAGGCTACTGACCCATCATTCCCATCTGCCTCCCCGCGATGCAGTCGGAGCCGTGGCTGCAACTCTCGTCCTCGCGGGTATCAGCATGTGGCTGTCCATCAAAGGACTTGGCAGAAGAATCATTCGACCTACGGTGCAACCTTGCTTCGATTTTATATCCAATCTGTTCAAATTGATTGCAGCGAAATCCCATTCTATTGGTTCGAAAGTCGGTGTTCAACTGTCCCCTGGCTAAAAGGACTCACTCGAGTGACATCATTGCTGTTGAAACGAGTATGGCAACCTCTACGCACACAGTAACGATGGTATTCCAATGCGGTTATAATCCAAATTCCGTCATTTGCTGATACATACGACCATAGATAACAGAGAATTCGGGGTCCCGTCTGCTCCCCCATAGACAAGCTGTTAATCGGCAGATTAGTAGTTGGGTCGGTGACGACCAGCGAACACCGGCTGTTGTATGTTTTTTCTTTTTTTTATCTTTTTGGTGCTTTTCTTCGAAGTATTATCAACTCGTCCAACGCTGCAATCATGCGCGAGCGCGATCAACTTGCCAAGAAGCCGCGGCTGCCAATCCGCCCTTGGCCGCAGGAATAGGACCCGTCGTCGTCTTATCCACTACGCACACCGATATTTATTGTACAGGCGGTCTTGTGTTTATCTCGGAGCGGTCAGGAATAATCCAGTTGCCCCTGAAATCAAATTATGGATAATATAGGCTTTTAAAGTAATATTGTGCCCGCTCCTGAACTGTATGGAGGCTTGTGAAGTCTATTGAACTTTTTTTGCATATGTATAAGTCAGTAGGTAGGCGTTGTTCTTAGTGAGAGCACCGGATGGATATTTGGCAGCTCACGGTGTACCGCATGTCTTTTCTACTCATTTTGTAGAAGAAAAAAATATTCATTTTCTAGCCCAAATTCGTGATAGATGTTTTCGATTAACACCAACTGTAATATTTTCCAACAAATTTGCCTTTAATTCCAGCGTGTGTCGTCACCGCCCCCATGATCACAACCAGGTGGAGAGGCAGGCTCCCACAGTTTCGAAAATGGACAATCTCATCAAAACAATAAACAGTGAACTATCACACACACAGAGAGTTGCATCCTCTGTAATGGATGCAAATGGCTGAAGTGGTGCTTTAATTGCGATAGAAATACGTAGGGTATGCTGACGACTGGTCCGACTGTCGTGGCCGACGTTGGCTGGGCCGAATTGTCTCGATGCCCGATGCGGGCGCCTTCAAAGTAATTCGTGCAATGACGGGGCAGCGGTGCCCGACGCCGACGACCGGCCATCGGCAAGGCGCCTGTGGCGATGGGTTCTACACCGCAGAACTCCCAACGTCGGTCGGTCCATGAACCATCACACTCTTGTCTCACCAGGCTCGAGTCAACATGTACGGGACCACCACGCACCGTCACGACACACCAGACACGATTGATCGGCTTGTTCAGGGCTTTAGTCTGTCGGAGCAGCATCAGATCGAAGGCAAGGGCGCGCTACCGTACCCGGTCTCTGCGATCGGGTGGCACGGTGGCGATGTCAGCCGGCCAGGCACCGATGTCACGGAGAAGTCGATGCAGGATATGACCCAATATGATGCCCTGTCGCGACTTCCCGACAAACCGCCATCGCTGACGGACTCTGCCTCGCCTCCTCAGCACCAGGAAGCCTTGCACAATGCAGAGTTTCCCCTCCAGATGCTGCGGCACCTGGGCCCCGACATGGCGTGCATGCTGGACGGCGCCCTCGAGCGACAGCGCGTCGTCATCGACGCCGCGCACCATGCCCTGGACGGCCTGGGCGAGGCCAACCGCGCCCTGATAGCCGACCTGGCCGAGTCTCGCGCCAACGAGGCAAACCTCGCCGCCGCGCTGGACAGCCTCCGCACCAGCCATCGGGCCACGGAGGCGTCGCAGCAGAAACAGCTTGCCAGTCTTTACGCCGCGCAGTCGGTCGCGCAGAACGAGCTTTCCACGTTTCATAGATTAGCGACGGCTGATAGGGGCGAGATTGCGAGGCTGCATGACGAGATTGAGGCCATGGACACCGAGATGAGTCGTCTGCGCGCCGACAGCGTGGCCATCCACACGGACAACACGTCGATGCAGAACACGATAGCCGCCCAGCGAAGGGCGGAAGCTTCGTTACGAGACGAAATTGCAAGACTCGCTGCCGCCAAAGAAAAGACCAACGCTGAGCTGAGTCTGTTTCAGCGGCAATATCTCACCTTGAAAGCGAGTCTAGACGACAAGGATGCCCTCATCGATGCCCTGCGTAGAGAGGTGGACAGTGAGAAGAAGGTCAGCCTGTCCGTGCACTCCTTGTTGGTCGCGATCAGTGGCTTCCCACCTCAAGGCCAACACTGGGAAGATCTCTCGGCGTCGCTCAAGTTATCGCGGCAAAGCCCGTGCGAGTCGGTGGCGGGCTGGCAATGGCTGCAGGCCTGGGACGACGGCGCCGAGGCGCCCGACACGCACCGCTCCACCACAGCTGCTCTGTGCTTCGCCTGCGTCTGTCTGCACAACTGGATGGACGATCACCGCAAGGCCAGGGATTGCCTGCAGTCTCTCGTCAACAGCTTGGAGGGCGCCGCCGAGCTGCCTGTCGGGTTGTGCCACACGGTCCTGTTCGCCGTCCTCGACGCTGCCAACCAACGACCTCTGCGCTTCGACGTCGCGTTTCTTCTCTGCCAGGCTGCGAAGCTCATCGCGGTGAAGTGTCCCTCGAGCGGCCGCAAGGAGGCCGCGGCAAAGGTGCGCGCCTGCGTGTCGCGCGACTGCGCGGACAAGGCGCTGCTCGATGCGCTGCTGGGCGGCTGGGACGGCGCCCTGGTCGATCGGGTCCCGTTCTGCACGCCCATGCTCGCCCAAGATGGCGAGATGGTGTACGTGCAGTCCATCGACTCGCTGCTGTTCGTCTCCCAGGAGAAGCTGAGGCTGCGCTGGATCAGCGTGCGGCGGATTGATTGGACCAAGTCCAGCGTTGACACCGTCCACCTACACAGTGGCGATGTCAGCCAAAAGGTCAAGTTTGGCCAGGTAGGCGCAGAACTATTCAAGGCTCTTCTTCATTTGTAAATAATAAACTATACATGTTTGATGTGTCACGAAGAATGCAATTTGTCGAGTAGCCACAGAGCTGCAAATATTATTATATGAAATATTTCCTTAATGATGAGAAGGATATGAATAGGAATTCTGAGGGCAGTGATGAGAATGATGTTTCTAACAATTCTAAAAGATGTTCCGGAAAAAATGTCGCCTGCTCACCGGTATCCCAAGAGGCAAGGAGCATCCCAACTTCAAGTCCATGCGCGGCCACGCCCAGGGCTCTCATAGACAATGGAACACGCGATGCGAAGATTTAGCGACTATGGAAGATTAGGATACAGGGTTGAAATTACGATACACAGAATTTACCGCACGCACTGGCGGCTCACCTCACACAGCCGTCTCTGTGACACACACCATTCCCACATCAGACGCATCGATGGCTGCCAGTCAAACGTGCTGGCACGCTGAAAATAAAGTCGCAATGTAAACTAATTACCTTCCTATCTAAAATATGACTTGGAAGCGTGTAGTTTTAAGTTCGCGGCGAGGATAACACGTAGCGCAAGTAAAAGCCAAAAAAGAGGGCATTCCCACTAGCAGCAGCTCTAAGGTTGAAATGCAGTACAACACTCGTCGTACCTCAGTTCATCTCCTCACATTATAGTCACCATGATACCTCATTTCATCAGCTTTATTTGTGCAACGCAATGATAAAACACAGAACCCGCATTAGTCCCTTCCCACAGCATCCTCTCCACGGATAAAAATCCTCTGCCTGTTCCTCGCTTTCCCAAGAACGACAACGACGACGTTTGCCTTTCCCATCCGCCTTGCTTTCTTTGAAAGAAATTTTTTACAATATTTCACAGTGCTTGCTCTCGTTATGCGCCAATCAACCTACTTTCCGGTGCAAGGGGCGTCTCCTCGCTTGACCCAAGAAGCGCTATTCATGATGCCCACGGGAGAAACAGCCGAGGAGCCTGGCGTCTCCCTACCGAGCGTGTACGTGCCCCCTCCGCGTAGAAGCGATACCAAAGACGACGCTACTGTCTTTGAGTACGACGGCTCCGACTACATACCTCCCGGCAAGGGCCCTGCCTCTGCGACTCGGTGGAGCTGGCCGCGGCGGCCGCGACACGAAGCGTCATCCGATTGCAAGTCCGATCCGGCCGGCAACAAGACGAAGGCCTGGAAGAAGTACCGGGAGTGGGCGAGGAATAGGATCAATCACGACGGGCAGCTGCACGAGGCTGTGCACAGGGCCCAGGACCAGGACCGGCGTGAGGGGCTGCGTCACCCTGAGTTCGGGACCATTGACTGCGATGCGGTCTCGAGTGTCCAGAGCTGGGCGACCGTGAGCAACGCGCCGTTGGAGGAGGAACCGCCACGGGAAGCTGCGGTGCCGGCATGTCTGCCCGGACACCGCCAGCACGTCCGGGACGCCAAGTCGCTCGCGCGGTACCTGGCCGCGTCCGCCTACACGATCTCGCTCGCCGGGCCGCCCCTGGCCGACATGCAGTATGGCGTCGTCATCGTGCCCTGCGGCCAAGAGGAGCTCTTCTTCCGGGAGCCGGAAGAGCCGGCCTACGAGAAGCCGCTCGCCGCTTCCGTGGTGGACAGGAAAAGCGAGCGCCCGGCCTTGTGCGCGGACAGCGAAACTTCAATGGGGAGCACCGCGTTCCGGTTCTTCGACAAGCAGCGGCTGCTGGAGATGTGGCAGGAGGATCGATGGAATGCAGAGGTTCGCGAGGAGAGGAAGAAGATCAAGGTCGAAGAGTTGCTCGTGCCGCCTGAGCCGTGGGACCCTGAGTACGTGAGCTGCCTGGCTCCGGAGCCGCAGCCATGGACGTCGGAGGAGCCCCAGACTCATCTGCAGTGGGATTCGGACTCGCCAAAAACAGTTTGCGCGACAGCGTCTGCGCATGCAGCGTCGTGGGTGGAGGAGACGCCCTGCATAATCACGGACCTGGAGCTGGACGGACTGACGCAGCAAATCACTACGAGCACGGAGGAGTCGCACCGGGTGGACGAAGTCGTTGAAGCGGCTTCAATATGTGACGCAACTCAGCAGAGTCCTCGCGCTCCGAGTAGCTGCAATGGACAGCCGGCGCGAGTGAACGGGCCCGCGCTTGATCCCGTGCCGACAGCCCAGCAGCCGTTGAGTGTCGAGGGTCGCCTAGCAATTGAGAAATTGCTCAGAAGCGCGGTGGAAGGGCCTACCCTTCCGCGGAAGCAGTCCAAGAGACGGTCCATCCGTGCTGTGCTGCGTCGGAAGCGGGCCGTTCAGCCCAACAGCGCCGTGCCAAGCGGAGCTGTAAGCCAGCTGGTTCTTCGAGAGGTCGCCGCCGTCACAAAGATGATTGCAGACGGATCCATGATGGAGAATCCGGGGATAGACGATGGACTCTGGACTGCTGTGCAGCAGGGCTTGCGCTCGCGATGAGTGTGAAGCGGGGGCTGCGGGATGTTGAGATTGGCCTGTGGGTTTAACTTTAGGCAATCGCAGATAATTGCTTCGGATTAAACACTTGTTGAAAATAAAATAAAATAAAATAAAATGAATAAAAAAGAGCTGTATTCATCCTGCTTTGGTATGCCGTGTGCTGTGTGGTCCGTAATAAAACCTCGATCAAGTTCCTTTGTTGGCAGTGGGAAGTGCTGAAAATCTCGACAACTGCATTAGGACCGCCCTCGGAACAAGATTAAATTTTTATTCCTAGTCTAGATGTCATAAAACCTAACACGTCAAGGTGCCGCAGCAAATCCTACCACTGAATCCTGGAATAAGGCCCTCCAAGAAGAAAGTCTGGCCGCTGATGGCTCTGTTGAATGTGGTACTCTTTTTCCCCAGCATTCATAGTTTTATATTCATTAATAAGTCAGCCGTTAGACAAGAAGCTATCCGGTATGGTGTAGTGGCTAACATCGCTCGCTCTCATCAATGAACCGAGCAGCCCAGGGTTCGATTCCCTGTACCGGAGTTCCTTTACTTTTTTGTTCTTAAGCTCTTCTACTCTTTGCCTGTTATGTTTTTTTTTTTTTTTTTCGTTTTTGTTTGGGAACTCCTGGTGGTCGTACCAAGAGGAGTACCAGGTCACGCAGCTGGCTGATTTAGCTTTTATTGCTGTGAACAGACCGGCGCTTACAGAAGCGAGACGGCGCAGGTAGCAGTTGGTAAGGCCGCGGCTGGACCGTGGGATCTAGCAAGCCGCTGATCTACAATCTGCCTCATGGTGGTCGTGGCGTATTCGGCGCAGTTGGCGAGGCTTTCTCCCTGCCAGTCCATTTTAAAGGCATATCCCAAGTATGGCCGTCGGCTTGGTTGACATCTACGTCCAGCGATGCGATAAAGTCTGGCAACTCCGCGGTAGCAATCCCAAGATGGCGGCACACCTGTACAGCGTCGGGGTAGGGCACATACGTTCTTCTTACCGGATCAATGCCGTCAAGCATGACGAACCTATTCTCACCGATCATCTCCCGGATGCTCGGATGATTGGGCGCGACGCGAGTATCTGGGCGAGGTTGACCATCATGCGCCCGGGGATGTGTGCAATTGAGCGCCCGCGCCACCTCAAAAAGCGGTAAGTCGTGCCCTCAGCATCGACGTAGGTTGTGACGGTCTGTAGTAGTCGAGAACGCCCGCATTCGCAAGGGTTTTGTTGCTTACCAGAGCGTCGGGGGTGACGGCACCCTCGATCCTTAGGCCGTTGGCAGGCAATAATGCACCCAAAATCCTTGGATCTGCCATTTGAGGCGTTTCTGCTTGTTGCTCAGGGGGGTGCCCAGGTTCGCTCTCCTGTACAAGGCATGGCGCGGTATCTGGGAGAGTATCCTCGGCTCGCATCGCCGTAATACAGCCGTCAGCGTATATCACGTTTGTGGAACTACTTTCGTTTGATAGTACGCCAGTTCGCGACTGGAAAAAAGCAAGCCGGATCAACTGTTCGGCCGACAGCCGTTTGTCCAGTTGCGGCTGCAGACATGCATCCAAGAGCTCCCTGACCAGAGGCGGCTCTTGCGCTGACCTATGTCCCAGTATCAGCTCTGTCCATGGTACATGTTTGCCCGTACTCTGTGAAGGAAGTCCTATAAACATCTCCATCGCAGCTACGCCCACCGACCAAATGTCAGCCTTGGTCGTGTACGGCGGCTGGTAGACCTCGGGTCCCATATAGGGCTCTGTGTCGCAATCTGCCGTGGGTGCTTCAGCGTTGCTAGATACTCCAAAATCAGCGAGCTTTGCATAGACGGGATCTCGGACCATGATAAGTATGTTGCCTGGCTGTACGTCACGGTGGGTGACTCCCTTCATATGCAGGCAATGTAATGCATCGAGGATCTGTTCAAGAATGGTACGGCCTTCATGGTATAGGAATCTTCGGACTTTGTTTTGGTCCACCATCCTACCAAGCACGGCATACTCCATAACGAGTTGTGCTTGTTGCCCAGCACGAATGTTGAACTCGTGAAATATGATAATATGTTTCTATAAGGTATTAGAGTGGATAGTGTTACGGGTCAGGCTGAAACTTACGTGCTTCATCGTGGAAAGTATGGCGATTTCCCTGAATGCTTGCGAGCTACCCCTCCAGTAAGTATGTACTTCATTAACAACTCCGCCAACTGATAAACACCCCATCCTATCATAAATGACTCGAAAGGCACAATAATTCTTCTTCTTTAGTTCTTTTCGGCATCACTGTGCTGCGCATTCCCGTGAGGGTGCACAAGTACGACACCAGCGCTCGAATTATTAATCCGAGAGCCGAACCTGCGGAAAATAAGGGAGGCATCGCTACATGCTTGCTTCACACAATCGCCTGATAAAGCACAACACCACTTCTCTCAGCTGTTCTCCGTCTTAATTACGTGACTATGAGGAGTCCGTGTATCGAGGGCTTCATACCCGCGTTTGCCAGGTTCTTTGCGTCTAGCGACGGGCAGCGTGAACTCTGCAGACAACTAGAAAGAGCCAAGTTGCGGCAGCTAGAGGCAACTCCATCGCCACCCTCTTCTCTCTACGGCTCTATTGAGGAGGACTTTAAATGTCAATGCAACGATTTGTATGGCGAATTTAGAGGACAGGAAGTTGACCGGATACGACTTGGAATCACGCACCGCGATTATTGGGAAATAGAATGCCAACACTACGCAAAGGAATTGCAACGGTTGCTTCTGCGAACATCAAAAGAGAAAGAAAGTGAAGGGAGGCCGAACTCTCAACACTGGCGAATGGCAGCACTACGCTATAGGGATATAATGCAACAGTACGGGCTGTCTTCTGACGAAGCCAACAGTATGCGACATTCCATTGACGACCAGAGATACTGGGCAGAGGAGTGTCAAGTTCTACATCAAAGGATTGCACTACGGGAATACGAAGCCCATGAAGCCGCCCGGAAGAAAATAATGGACATCGAGCGACGACGGGAAAAACAGGTGGCGCGCCACTTACAATCCCTCAAAGGATTATCACAATCGCGACCGATGCATCTACCTCCAGCTCAAATGCCGGGTCACGATGGTTGTATCGCGAGCAGAACAAGATCAAAGACACGAATCACCAAGTCTCTTACTGGTAGACGTCGTGGTGCGCAAAGGAACGAGGCTAGCACTCAGGCTGCCCGTGCAAGGAGCAAGAAATCTTCCAGGTAGGAGATTATCGTGGTACATATGCATGATAATACCACATCAAACATCGCGGGTGCCTGCCTTTTGTGTGACGGTGGTCACGCCAGCCTTTGCCATACATAAACAAGCATTTTCGTTCCCCCGGCCGCCCCCCAACTATATCAAACATGTTTCTTTTCGCTCTTACACATCAGCTCAATATCATCTATGTCAGCCTATGCACAATGAACAGCTCTATTACGATCGATTACTCGGATGTTGTTCTGATCCTTGGGGACTTTGTCGGGGCAGATGGGATCTTGCAATGGTCCGACAACTCTAGATTTGAGTTCACACCACCAGTTACGGACAACTCCTGGAAGGGCAACCAGTCAAGCGAACACGAGTTGACGCCCCCGTTTCTCTGCCTCAAGATTAGAGAGAACTTATACGACCCCAAAGGCTGGATCTTAGGCTCTCATGAGGATTCTGATTCGTGCGACCTCCAGATTGCGACGACGAATCAGACAGGCATCAGCAGGCAGGCCTGTCGAATCGACATCAGTCCTGAAACCCATCAGCCTAGGGTGACACAGCTCTCTGACAGACAGTTTTCTCTTTACGGGACGTCTCTCGTTCGCTCCAAGCTTGGTGTACCATACCAGCTCTCCAGTCCTACAATGATTGAATTGGGGACTGTGAAGTTTCGTGTATGGACTCCGTCACGGACACCAATGGAAGCTTCTCTGTACAGGACGAAGGCTCGACAATACAGCCAGGATATAATGGGCTCCATTCCAAAACGTTTACCGTCCCTAAAAAGTCACGACGAGACTTCGGCCGATGCAGTCCGTTACGGCATAAATGGCAATGTTTATGTCGTTGATGTGCAGGGAGCGCAGGGAAGGGGCGCACACGCCTCGGTCATGAAAGTTAGTGGTGCCAGAACTGGGCAGTGCTTCGGGGCGAAAGAGCCGTACTTTAAGATCAGCGACAACGCCGATATTGTACGGCATCGATTTGAGGCGCTACGTATGGAGTACACCCATCTAAAACGTCTCGATCACGTAAGTAGATCCAAACATTCTGATACTCACCTCAAGATTCTGATGCACGGTTCAAGCCACATATATTGAAGGCGTTCGACTTGGTTGTGGCAGAAGATTTGACTCTACCGCCGTGGATGATTGTGGAATACATTCCATTAAATCTGCGAGAGGCTCTACCTACCCTCAACGAACGCGAGCGACTAGCAGCAATAACTCACATCAGTAGCGCTTTGACATATCTGCACGTGAACGGCATCACGCATCGAGACCTCAAACCGGAAAATGCCCTTATTTCTCGACATAGCGGCAAACTGATAGTGAAGCTGGCCGACTTTGGTACCTCAAAGCAAAACGATTCAGCCATTATGGAGACATTTACCGGAACGCATATCTACATGGCCCCCGAGCTATTTGCTCAACCTCTGTGCTATACAAGCAAAGTGGACATGTGGGCTCTTGGCCTGATCGGAATACTCTTGTTGACCAGCTGGGACTCTCGCAATGACAAGCAGTGGAACTCTTACGATTTTGCCACCTGGATCTGTACTGTTGCTCTACCAAGCATCTCAGAAGCACCAGCCTTTTTGCAGCCCATGTTAAAAGGACTATTGCGGAAGGACGCCAGAAAGCGATGGAGCTCGGGGAAGTGCTTACGCTGGCTCTGGAAAAATGAGTCACTCAACTCGCCCGCTTTGTCTGAAACGAGCACAGAGGGAACTATCCGACACAAAAGGCCATCGTCCAAGGACTCGGTGCGCTATAGCGGGCAACAAAATCCTGGTAGGCAACGCCGCAGCCGAAATCTTTGTCTTTCGACTGCTCGCGCCAGCGCTTCTGAACGTCGCGAAGAGGATGGCCTGCCTGACACCGCATCACGAGGTTCCAGCGTACCGAAGACACCGTCGACACCATCAACCCCGCGGCTTGATGAAGTCATGTCTTATTTGGGGAAGTCGGATGATGAGGAATCATCTGGTGGCGATACAGACCTGGAAGACTGGCAAATGGAGTTCAGTCGTGGTAGAGAACCCGCTTAAGAACTTGGCTAACACGAACGATGTTAGCGTTCTCAAGTATTCTTAGACCATGTGCCTCGGTGCAATCGTGTACAAAGAAAGCGGACGTAGACCCCATGGGCAGGGCATAATCCGCAGTGGTCACGATGCAGGCTGAAGTTACGAACGCCACCTTCCGCAGAGCTCAGTTGAAGAGATGCAGCATCCACTACCCCCATGGATATATCCCAACTAAAGACTCTGTCCTCTAAAGCGTCTGTGTTCCCAAGTAAGCGTCCGTCTGACTCGTTGCTTGGACATGGCGTCGCGACAGCCTCCCTCGCCACTCGCCACGGCATTTTAAATAAAAGTCGTAGGATAAAGATTAAAAATGGCCACGTAAAAACAGGTATCAAATTTGCATTAGCTTTGAATTCTACAGATACATTAGTATCCCGGTACCACCCTCGCAATGACATGCAGCCCGTCCTCGGGCTTGATGGTGACGCCGCCCTTGACCTTGAGCTTGTCCGGGTCCATGAGGGTCTTGTCGACGAATTCAAACTCGAAGCGGCCGATCCAGGCGGCCAGCAGGCAGGCGAACTCGCCCTTGGCGAAGGCGGCGCCGATGCAGCTGCGGGGTCCGTGGAGGAACGTGGATAGCGCGTAGTTGCTGGTCGAGCCGCCGGTGTTGTCGAGGGTGACGGAGCCGTTGCGGGTATCGAGCCAGCGGTCCGGATTGAACTCCTCGGCGTCCTCGCCCCAGAGAGTTTTGTCGACGTTGATGGCCCACTGCGGGATGGTGACGGCGGTGCCGCGTGCGACGGGCCGGCCGAGCACGGTGGTGTCCTGCATGGCGACGCGGCCGGTGACGGGCACCGACGGGTAGCGCCGGAGGACCTCGTTGACGACGGCGTTGAGGTACGGCAGGCGGTCAAAGTCGACGCTGGAGACGGCGGCGGCGTCGTCGTCGACCGACGGCAGGTGGGCGCGGACCTCCTCCCGGAGGCGCGTCTGCATCGCCGGGTTCACGCAGAGCGCGTAGATGGCCCACGTCAGCGAGACGGAGGTGGTCTCGTGGCCGGCGGCGAAAAAGGTCATCAGCTGGTTCTGCAGGCCCTCGTCGGTGAACTGGCCGCTCTCGAGCGCGATGGACAGGATGTCAACGTCCGGCTGCGCCTTGTCCTGCTTCTGCGCGCGCAGCTTGGCGCGCTTCTCGTCGATCAGCTCCTGGCAGACGCGGCGGATGGCGCGCATGGCGTCGCGGAACTCGCGGATGCGCGGCAGCGGCAGCTCCTCGATCATCCACTGCGGAAGGACGAGCCCGAGGACGAGGAAGACGCGGAGGAGCGACTGGCCCTCGAAGACGCGCGTGTACTGGGCGACGAGCTTGTTGTCCGGGTCGCGGACGGCGTCGAAGTCGCGGCCCATGGCGGCCATGCCGATGATGTCGAGCGTGGCGAGCGACGCCCAGTGGGAGACGTGGAGCTGGCCCTCGCGGCCGTGGACCGTCTTGGTCATGGCGCTGACGACCTCGCGCGACTTGTCCCAGAAAATGGGGTAGAGGTCCTTGATGTGGCGGAAGTTGAAGGCGGGGAGCATGCTGCGGCGCTGCCGCCGGTGCTCGTCACCCTCGGAGGTGATGAGGCCGACACCGGTGACGGTGCTGAGGGCGGCGCGCACGACGCCGGGCTTCTCCCAGGCGTAGCTGTTGGCGACGGTGATGTCGGCGATGGCCTTGGGGGAGATGGCGATGAGGCGCTCCTGGTTGAAGAACATGAAGAAGCGGAGGAGGCCATCGTGCTCGACCTCTTTATTCCTGTGGGGGAGTGTAAGCAGAGGTTCGAAGTCCTGGTACTGAATGGACCAGGCGCTGATGAAGACTTACCATGTTCGTGAGCACTCGCCTGGTGGTGAGCTGTACAGCTGGGGCATGTGGCCCATCAGCCAGTGCCGGTTCCCGACGGTGGGCAGATGTCTCGTCGGCGACACGTAGAAGGGGTAGATGAAGGTAAAGTAGAGGCCGCAGATGGCGAGGTTGGCGATGAAGAATATCCCAAATGAGAGCGCGAGGGATGACAGCTTCAGCTCATCTTTGCTGTAGCGGAGCGTCAGGGCCTCCAAGGCCGCCGCGACCGTCACCAGCGGCCACGACATGTGCTTTGGTGCTAGTTGCGACATTTTGTTGTGATTTTGTAGATGAAAGTCGAGGTTTCGACGATTGATACGATCCGCGACTGATGTATTCTCCAATAAGCCGGTCCCGAACAGGGTACATATGTCCGGGTCCGGTGTGGCGGAGATTCGGCGGAATAACATGGCCGGGACAGTGGGGAAGGGAGAATCCGATTACCCTAACAGACGCGTAGCAGAATTGGTCGATCTCGGCGAAGTTGGGCTAGCAAGCTGTCGTCAGCCTGGATGCCTCTGCAAGATCCGAGGCAGATCAGGGCAAGCTAGACAAAAATTAGGCAGCATTTTGCGAATGTCATGACATGACGTACCCAAAACACCAAGCTACACCATGACGAATTGTCAAGGAAGTACGCGCCCAGTAAAACATGGACAGTGCCCGAGGCAGAAAAAAGGCAGACAACAGACAACAAGAGCCAGCAACTCAAAGTAATACAGAAGACAGCATAATAATAAACGGTCGCCTCTATCCCCTTGTCACAAGCCCGACGCGGCGGCATCGGGTCCGGGCCGGTAAAGGTTTCCGGCTCCGCAGGTGGGGGTGGGCAAGGTAAGACATTTTCAGATGAATTTGCAACGGGCCGGCGATGATTCGCTATCCTCTAATTCGTAGGCAGTGGTTGAATGACGAAAGCACCGACAACTGCACAGCCTCGGCGCGTCATACGGCGACACGCATAGGCCTAGACGTGGTCAGTGAATAGCTTGCCCGTTACGCAAAATTCTCTTGAGTTGTCTCTGCCTCCTGTCCGTTGCTTAGCAGTTAGGAAGTATTTTAAGTATCAGCTTGTTCGTAGCAACAAAATCTGAAAACTCTGCGTCCTGGAAAATGGTGTCTTTGTCGTTGTCTCGTTTGAAGACTCACTCTTGCCCCGCACCGGCCAACGCAGGGTTTTCTTAGAGACTGCACATACCCTGCAGTTGCTCTCTCTTCAACTAGCTAACTCCTGGTGAAACGAGCAAAGAGATGGAGGATTGCATAACTCAGGGAAATAAACAGATCGATCAGGTGGGCTTTCTCCTCAATGTGAGATTTTTAGAAGTGTGTTGAGGCTGGTTGACTTGGAAAGTTGCTTCACATCCCATAACTTGCAACATAAACAACTGCCACATTTTACGTGCCTGGTAGGCAAGACCATTTTAGCCCCCTACCAGGAGCGCCTTCATAGTGCATAATTAGTCACCGGCTTTCAACAACAACAAGCCTTCGTGGCGTAGCTGGTTATCGCGTGAGTCTCATACAAACTATGTATGACCTAGCCAACAGGCCGGGCAATCTCAAGGTCATGAGTTCGAACCTCATCGAGGGCATTGTTTTTTTGTTTTTTGCTCCTTATATCAATTTTTTACCATTGAATTCTAACCGCAGTATCACCAACTGACTGCAATATCATTTGAATGTACTCGTGTACATCCACCGTCTATGAGATTTCGCAGCTGTTCAATGTTAATCATTGTACCCCAGGACCGCACGCTACCTATGTATGTACCTATGTATGTACCCATATACACCCACTATGCACAGATTTCGCAGCTGTTTAACGTTATATCATTGTACCTGACGTTAAATCGTTGTACCCTCAAGACCGCGCCAAGTTTCCTACCTTTGATCAAGTGTCCAGCACCGTTTGGGCTGTGCTTGCTGAATTCAATCGTTCTGTCATTTCGAAAGTTTCTTCTGTTATTCATTTCGACGTCCGGCAAGGTTGACCGCTGGACGTCAGCGTACTCTCGGCCTATAGCGGGAAAAAATCGAATTAAATCTCTGCGAATATAAACGTAAATACAAAAGAAGAGTAAGATCACCAAAACACATGGCGCAACCTTCCCGAGCATGCATCGCATAATGCCACCGTTTTGTTTGTAGATCATGCATGCCGAGGCGGCCCCGCTCCCTCTCCATCTCACCAATGACAAGCTGCGTGTAACGGACGCGACTTGCGACCAGCAACAACAGCATCAACGTTTACTTAATTCGACACCTGCTCCTGGCCCTCTTGCGCGGCGGCCAATCTGACTGGTTTTACGAGGTATCATTACTGCCAACCCTACGACCCACTAGCCGATTCGACTGACCACGCTTCAACTCTCACCTCCGCCTCACCTGCAGCGACGGCCTGCTCGCATCACCATGCTGCTCGCTGGCCACTCCAAAACGCGCGTAACCAGAGAGTAAACGATTTAAACAGGACAATCACCGCAATATCGCATCATGGACGACAAGAAACTCGGCCCGGGCGGCCTTGTTATCCGGAAAGAGGGCCGCAAACCGCTCTTTGGCACGAAGCAAACGACCGCAAACGAACCAACGAGAATACCGCCTTTGTCGCGATCGAAGTCGAGTCCTGGCCAAGACAAAGCCTCCTCCCCCGCCATGACGCCAGGCTCCCGTTTACCGCGCTTCGGCAGCGGCGGCTTCGGCAGCAGAAAACCATTATCCCTGACCGAGGCCTACAAGCTCGCGGGCGAGGAGGACAAGCCGGGCCCGATTGACGGCTCCCCTAGCCCGGCACCGCGATCGTGGCGACGGTTAAACGATAAGCAGAAGTCCGTCGATGACTCCAAGATGCACGAGGCTGTCAACCGCAAACACGTCCCGGACGCATCCCCTAACAAGGAGCGCATCGCGATGCGAAATCGCATTGACGACGGGATAGGAAAATCAAGAACGAGCCGATGGGTGCTGGAAGAAGGCATGCGCGACGACGCACCGCTCCCATCGACGGAAAACGTGCCACCTGCTGCATCCCCGGAAAAGAGCTACGCCTGGCAGGTAGACGAGGACTTTACCGCAGGTGACCTGCAAGTTTCCGACAGCCCGCGCATACGAGTCAACCAACCGCCGTTTACAAAGCCGACGCGATCTCCGTCGCCGCGCAAAGGCGCAACGCCTAATGCGAAGCTCGAGGAGATTCGGGTCCGCGAGCTGGGACTGACGCCAAACGTGGCGAGCCCACGAAAATCAAAGCTGGACGAAATTGTAATACGAGAACGAGAGGCCGCGAAACAAGTCTCCCTGGATCGTGGGTTCCCGCGCATAGGAGCCGGGCCCACCAAGCTGGACGAGATCAAACAGCGCGAAACCCAGGGGCTGTCGAAACGGGCCATCTCGCAAGCTAAGCTGGAGGAAATTAAAGAGCGCAACGCCATGACAAGATCGGTGTCACCAGACTCGCCGAGAAGGAATTGGATCACTCGTGAGGGAGTGGGTATCCCGCGCTCCAAGTCGGCGTTTGAGCCGGTCGGACGCCAGGTGCCCGACACGCCCGTTACCATTTACAAGTCAGACGCGGAGAGGATCGCGGACGAAGTGCGACGAGCGGCTACGAAAAAGGCAGAAGAAGCTGCTGAAACGAAAAACCGCGCAAACAGACTATCACCCCAAAAGCGCGACCAGTCACGCGAATTGCTGCGCACGCTGGCCCGAGTTACGAAAGCCAGCCCAGCCGCCAAACGAGAACCTGACGAGCCGCCCGCAAAGCCCTCTACCGCTGTCAAGCAAGAGCCGCTCACGAAACCCTCTGCCGTTGCCAAGCACCAGCCGCGCGCCAGCTCTCTCAAGCGATCAGCCCTCGACGCGAGGCGAACGTCCAACACGTCATCTAACACCAACACGTCCAAGAGTACGTCTGACCGACCGACGGTAGGCTTCGCGGGGCTCGCGCGCTCCCGCTCTAGCGACTCGCGTAAGAGTAAGGGCTCTAGCGTGCACTCGGAACAGGACCCAACGGACCGGATCGAGGCTGAGGAGCGGTTGTTTGCGCTCCGAGACGACTACTCCGAGCATGGGTCAGCGCGCGCGCCGTCGCCGTGGGTGGACGATGAGGGCGACAGAACGGATAATGACGCGACGCCCAAGCCGGTGAGCAGGCAGGACGTGCTGGCAATGCCGACGCCGCGCGCGCCGGGGGCGTTTGTGGACACGCCGGTGACATTCAAGAAGGAGGATCGGCTGCGGCCGGGTAGTAGAAGGATGAGCCTGGAGCAGTCGCCTGACATCAAGCCGGATTTATTGGGGGACGGTAAGCGACGTAGGGACGACATGGCACGTCTGGCACAGGGGGACGTTGAGACAGCGTCGGATCCGGGCGTCGCGGAACAAAAGAAGAAGCCGACTCGGCCGCGCTCGGGGAGCCTGCCTAGAAGGCGGCCACCCATCACCAACTCGGCCAAGCCGCCGACGGTGCGCGACGACTTGCGCGACCTACAGCGACTCCATAACATTCGCGACTCGACGCTGGACAACCTGGAGGATATTTTGCTGGGCAAGAAGACGACGAGCGAGAAGCTGGACGCGCTGCTGCGGGAGACTGCGGCGATTGCTGCGGCGGAGGCCAAGCTGGGGGAAAAGAGTGAGCTGGACGCGGACCTGGACGAGCTCGCCGCGTATGAAGCGCTGAGCGCATCTGTTGAGCGCGATCTCGGGGTGCACAAGGACGGCAGGATAAAGGTGGAGGCGCCACTGGCGAAAACAACATCACAAACTGACGAGACGCATCTCAACGAGGACGAAAAGTCGAGCGAAAAAATTGAGAGACTCAACAACGTGCTCCAGCAACAACAGAGTGAAAACGGCATCAAAGTTGAGGATCTCAAATTCGAAGACAAGGCGAAAGGCAAAACCTACATCTCGGCCAAAGACACCAAGGCTAAAGATAACAAAGCTAAGGATAGCAAAGAAAAGCACGACCACGCGATGGATCTCGATTGCCCCCTTTGCGTCAGCCAGCCGTCCACGCCCACTGTCGCCTACCTGCACCTCCCCCTCCCGCGTCTCTTCCACCTATCGCCACGCCCGCGCCTGACGCTGCTCGGCCTCGTGCTGTGCGCGCTGTCGCTGTGGTGGGCGGTCGAGACGGCCATGTGCGGGCTGTACTGCCGGCCGACGACGTGCTCGTCAGGCCCCGCGCCGTGCGTCTGGTCCTTTGACGACCCGGCGGGCTTCGGCGCCGCGCTGCCCGTCAAGTTGGACCAGTGGGCGACGGGCGGCCGCGGGCGCGCCGCGTGGGCGGCGGTCAGGGAGGAGCTGGCGGACGCGCTGGACGGGGTCTGGGGCGCGGGCGCGGTGGACGTGCAGGGGATGACGCCGGCGCAGCGTAGGCGGCACAACAGGCGAAGGGCGGCGAAGAGCAAGGCCCCGGGGCTGAGCGAGGAGCAGAGGGCAAAGGTGGACGCGTGGCGCAAGGAGCGCGAGGCGAGGGATAGGGGGCGGTACGTGGACGAAGGGGCCTTGGGTGGCGATGAGCCCATGTGGTAGGGTGGTGTGTAGGTGGTGGCGGGTGTATGTACGTGGTTTTGGCCCCTGATTTATGGATGTACGCGCAAGGTATACGGAGTTGCTGTTGTATATTCAAGCATTTGCTACATTGAGAGGCTTTTTGTCGGATTAGCAGGGGCGTTTACGGCTCGGAACAGGCAGACGAATTCACACATCTATTCTTGTTCTTGTTATTGCAAGTCCATGTTGTACCATTTTTCAACACCAAAACTCCGTAAATGCAAGCAAGCAACCCTTTGAATCTAATCCTCGATGCCGCCCCAGCCATCATCACTATCCTCGCCCTCATCTTCCTCGTCTTCCTCGGCCTTGCTCGCCCACGGCAGCCTCTCGTCCTCGTAGCTGTCCCTCGCGCGCTCGCGCACCGCCTTGCTCCCGTTCCTCGTCAGCGCCTGCACCATCCCCCCCAGCTCCGCCACCAACCCCTCCGCCTCCTCCCCGCGCGGCCCCCCTCCCAGCGCGCCCTCCCTCTCCAGCTCGTCCACCCAGACGTCCAGCACGTGCAGCCTCAGCCCCAGCGGCAGCTCCCCCTGCCCGTCGCGCCCGCCCTCCCCGTCCAGCACGCACTCCCGGCACACCTTGACCGCCGTCGCCCTCCCCTCCTCGCCCTGCAGCGCCAGCCGCACCGTCGCCGCCCACACGCGACGCACCAGCAGCAAGAACTTGTTCAGCCGCAGCGCCTCGATGCCCGTCCACTGCGCGCCCAGCACGTGCCAAAAGGCGCGCAGCCAGGCCTCCCGGCACCGCGCCGGGCGCAGCGAGAACAAAAGCTCGGCGAGGTCGGCGGCGAGGGCTTGCTGGGGGCGCGGCCGGTCGGTCATCCAGAGGGCGTAGTACAGCCCGGTCCAGAGCTTGCGCGCGTCGGCGTCGGGGAGCGCCCGGCGGGAGGAGAGGAAGGCGGTGAGGGCTTCGAGGGATGACGTGCGCAGCTTGCGGTCTGAAAGGATGTCGGTGTTAGTCTCAAAACAAATGAAAGGGAGCTTCTGCCAAGGTCAAAGCCAAGGGGAATTGGGAGAGGAGGACAAGGGAGACGTACCGCTCGAGGCGAGGTTCTTGATAAAAGGCATTTGAGCCGCATCTTGGCCTGTGCGAGCGGCCATGGCTGCGGTTGGGTTGGCTGTTTGTGTGAGGGTTGTTTTGTCGGTGGTGATTGGCGACAACTTTTTTTTGAAGTTGAAAATTCAAGGTGAGGTCGATAAGACCCGCTTTTCTCGGTGTGCTCGGTGAAGATGTCACCGGGGAAGGTGAGTCTTGTTCTGTGCTTGCTAGTTGATATAAATAATTTTGAAAAACATCAGAAATAATACCTTTGATAAAATAATATTCTGAATATTTTCTTCTCTTTTGATTTCGTGCTTGGTCGGTGTGCTCACGTGCCTCGTGAACTTTGAGCTCCTAGCCCACCTCTACAAGCACATCTACCATACATCTACCTCGCGCCTTCTCGTCTCCCGCATCATCAAATCCTTCTCTCGGGCACTGCCTCAACCTACCGAATCGCCAACTTGCATCGTACGATATATCCAACAGCCACAGCTACCTCCGCACTCCAACACCCGTCTGGCCGACTCGACCCCGCCCCCACCACCGTTTGCTATCCAGGTCGCTTCACCATCACTGGCCTTCACCACACACATCACAGCCCGTCATGTCTTCCACACGCCGCATCACAAAGGTACCGCCCCTCCTCTCTCCTCCCACCCATCCATCGCCACCACACCCGCTAACCACGACCGCCCACGCCCCCAGGAATTCGGCGACATCACCCAGTCGCCCCCCAACGGGTACTCCGTCTCCCTCGGCCCCAACGACTCCCTCCACACCTGGCACGTCACCCTCCTCGCGCCCGCCGGCTCCGTCTTCCACCCGGGCCGCTTCGGCCTCGTCCTCACCCTCCCCGTCGAGTACCCCTTCCGCGCGCCCTCCGTCCGCTTCGTCACCCGCATCTACCACCCCAACGTCACCAACGACTCCCTCGGCAACGTCTGCCTCGCCCTGCTCAAGCCGGAGAACTGGAAGCCGAGCACGAAAGTGGCCGCCGTGCTGGAGGCGCTGCGGGGCTTGCTGCTGGAACCGTTGCCAGACGATCCGCTCGAGGATCGCATCGCGGAGCAGTTCAGGAACGACCGCGCGGCGTTCGACAAGGCGGCGAAGGACTTTGTGGAGCGCTACGCTATGGGCGAGCCAACGTTTCCCCCCGCGGCGACGGCGGCGTAGATGGAGGACAGAGAATGGCCGATGATGATATGAAGGGGGACAGATGATGACATGAACCAGCGCAGCAGAGACCAAAGACTACATGATTACATTGCAATGCACAAACCGGGACGAATAATTATAGCAATAGACAGATGGGCAACGAGTCAACGTCAAAAGTCAATATAAACAATCACCCAAGCATCAGCAATCGTATCTATGGGTATCGCCTCCCTATTCAAACAGATAACACCGTCTACCAGTGCACAAATAAAAGTATATAGTCGTCATCGTACGTGTACTTTGTACACCGGATAAATATGTACCAGAAATGGCCTCCTACAGCTCGGGCCTCACCCGCTTCTTCTTCCCAAACAACGTCCCTCTCCTCACCACCAAAGCCGTCTCCGTCTCCGTCACGTTGCCGTTGATGGTCTGGCTGTGCTGAATCTGCTCGCGGTCCTTTTTCGCCTTGTCCCGTCGCTCTCGCCGCTTGTCGTCAATAACATCCTGGTTGAGGTGGTTGAACCCGTTGCGCTTCTTAAAAGACTGCTCCATCAGCAGGTTGGCATCCAGCATCTTTCGCGGTAGCGCCTGCACTACGCCAAACATTTCCATCGGGTCCGTGATCGACTTGATCTCCGCCTCGCCGTGTTTGAAGATAGCCAGGGCCACACGGAAGAGCGTCTTTGAGCCCTCGTAGAAAAAGACGTCCCACACGCGTAGCGTAGTTTCGATGGGTAGTGTACCGATAAAGCAGCTCATAAACCATGCCGTCATGCACAGCGTAATCGGAGGCAGTCGTTCCGTGGACAGACTTGGATGCCCGCGGTGGCGCGACTTGCCCAGCGGACGTCGTAGTGATCTGGTCGGTGTCGGTTTAAAGTTGGTCTGCTCCTCCAATTCACCACCGATTCGATCCCACACCTCAGGCATGGTGTCGCGGATTTCGGCCATCAGCACGCCCAGGTCCACCTTGGAACCCTCGAGACTCATCTCGTGCGTGCCGGGAAGATAAATATGTGTAATGACGTTGAGCAGCCAGAAGCACTGCTCCTCCGTCTCGACAAATAAAAGCAGCAGACCTGCCAGGAAATTCAGACTCTGGCAGTATCCGATGCGGGGGTTGTAGATCGAAAATGCGTGCAAGACGCGGCGTAAAGATGTAATGATAGGTGGCTCGCCGGGTACTGCCCGCGCGCTGCATTCGCTCGACGTGTCGTTACTTGTGAGTGTAGACTGGCTTTGTCGCACACTGCTTGATGTTGAGCCGTCAAATCCCGTCGGTGAGGGCTTGAATTGGATATTGTCAGGGAATGTGCGGTGCAAATCTCGCTCAATGGCGTCGACATCAATCTGCTTTGCGTGCGATATGAGCAGCTTCTCGTACAGCCCAGAATGCTTGGCCAGAATGGCAGGACCGCCGGCGTAGTAGAACCAGGCGGCGCCTCGCCAGTCCGGAGGGATGCCCTTGCGGACAAATCGCTTCGTCTTTTGGTTGGGCGGGGGGAAGCGAATCGGCCGGTCCGTCATCAGAGCATTGTCCTTGAGATAGGCAACCCACTTGCGGCGGCGACGGGCCAAGTATTGTGAGTAATGTTTGTTCCATTCGTCGTACTGCTCTCGAGTGATGGACTGGCTCTGCTTCTTGAAGCCGTAGCGGTCGCGGGCGCCAGGCTCTTCCGTCTCGGCGTACGACGGAGCTGGTGGAGGCGGCGTGGGGGAAATAGAGTTTGTTTGCGAGTCGGTGTCGGTGATGGGAGACACGGGAATGGTTTCTTTAAAATCGGAGGTGGCGGGCCGGGATGCTACAGAAGGGCCGGATGCCACAGAGGGACCGGAACCGACAGACTTGGCCGAGTCTCTCTTGTGGGAGACTTCGTCCTTGTTGGTCATGTTCTCGCTGGTAATGGCGGGCAACATCGATGTAAATGCCGGACTGGAAAAGAGTAACTTGGACTGGCGAATCTCGGCGTCCAAGGCGGTTGCAGGCGGGCGGGCTGTTGGGCGGGGAGGACGAAGACTATCAGTGTGATCGAAACGTGCGACGGCTGGGCCCGTTTCGGAAAGGGTCGTCAGCTGTCGATGAATGTGAGGCAGCTCCTCCGAGTCAGTGGCGTCTTCTTCATCGTCCGTGTCATCTTTGAAACCTCTCTCGTACATGCCCATGACATCCTCGATACTTGGCTCGTCTGGCTCGGCGTCTGCATTGGCGTCTGCGTTGGCGTACAAGGAGCTGACAGAGCTGTCCTTGGTCATGACGCTGCTGCGCTCGGTCACTGCAGTGCCTGGGGTTGTGGAGGCTGTTAGCTGGGACCTGAAACTGGACCGCAGTTCGTCCCCACTGGCCCAAGGAGCGCCACCAGAGCCGCCGACGGGTCCTGGAGGCGCCGAGACGGACGACTCTACGCGATTATAAGTAAACGGCGGCCTGCTGGGCGCGTTGGAGGGAGCAGTGCGGAGGCGAGGTGATGGAGGGGCTGACAAGTCAAAGGCGTTGACGGGAGGCGAAGCAAAGGTATATGTCGATGTCACCGAAGCGTTGGACGGGGCACGGGAACGAGGAGGCAGCCACGGCGAGCCGCCTTCACTGAGCTGGGGTGAGTTTTCTCGTGGTGCAGCGGGTCTGGGTTGCACAGGGAGCTTAAGGCTGGGTTTTCGTGGTCTGGAAAAGTTGCCAACAGAGCCGGAAGACTGCCGCATGTCGGCATTGGACGACTTGGCAGATAGTATTCGGTTCGGAGAGGGCAGAGGCTCGTCGAATGGTATGCGTGGAAATTCTTCTCGACTGGGCGAGAGAGGCGAAAGCGGCGAGAGTGGAATACGCTTGGGTGAGAGAGGTGACTTGGGCAATTCGGGGGCGTCGTAGAAGACGTCTCTCGGGAGGGAGTCTCCGGTTGGACCAGCAGCCACCAGGTGAGGCCCGTTCTGGAGTGAGTCCCAGCGAGGCAAAACGGGAGCGGATTGAGGCAGCGGCGGCGGCGGTTCGTGAAGGCCATGGTCGTCGGGCTTGATTCGGTTGGCGTACAGAGAAAATTGCCTATTCTTCGCCGGTCTGGCGTCTGGGGCACTGTCAACTGGGGAGACGGCCATGTCGGTCATGCTGAGGAGCCCAGCTCCGACTGGATACTGGGCTCACGGGTGGGAGAGTGAGTTGAAGCCTGCCAGGATCCGGCAGCTGGTGGTGCGTTGTGTTGCTATAGTGGCATCGCTGGCATCGTAGGTGCGTGGTCGAGCGTAGATCGAGTTTGGGTTGGGGGAGATGTTTGTTGCCGCGTGACACGAGAGAGGCGAGGTGGCACGAGGTGCAGCTAGTCAGTTAGAGAGGATCAGGCCGATGCGAATGGAACGGCCGAATGGCAGATATGTAGCGGAAATGCGCGTGATTCTGGTTGAGTGTAGTAAGGAAGGGACGGGAATGCAGCCGCAGGTCGGGAGGCCCGCGGGTCGAGGGATGGCGGGCAAGCTGCAGGAGATGTGCAGCCGAAATATGTGGGAGAGAAATTTTGATTAGACAAACGTCATGGCGAGGATGCAAGGAGAGCCAGGGTGTCCAGGAGAGAGCGGCAGAGGCTGGGACACGGCAGAAGGCAAGGCTGGACAGGACGGCAGACACCAGGCCGGGGCAAACAAAGGAAGGAAGCAATGGGTGAGAATGAGTGTGGGGAAGAATGGGATGGAGATGCAGCGAGATGCAGCGAGATGAGAAGCTTTTGGTATTTGGGTGATGCAGCTGGGAATTCGGATGTGGATGCTTGATGCTGAGGATTGCTGATTGCTGGATACTGGTTGGTGAGGACAGAGCTGGGCGGGGAGATGGAGAAGGAGGTACTTGCTGGTAGGCGAGTGTCTGCTGCGCGAAGCAGGTACCACCAAGCGTAGTGTTGTTAGCAGCTGTTGGGCTGGCGGTTAGGGCCTGCATGTCTCGGGCTGATGCATTTTAGAGGCCATTTTAGTGGTGAGCGCTATATTTTAGCAACACTTGGTGGCTGAGCGCTATGTTTTAGTCATAACCGGTCCTATATTTTAGTGGGCGACCACTATATTTTCCCTATATCCCGGCACCTGGGAATACATTTCACCCCGCCGGCACGCGACCGACACTCCCGCATCGCGTCGAGACTGAACAACAAACAAAGTCCGCCTGAGTCAAGATGAAGATGTTTGCTCCATCTCCTATAAATAACCGCATCGCGACGATCGAGCGAGTTGCCCCGTGCTGCTGCTCGTTGCGTTCAGGCCAGTTTGCCAACAAACACCACCCAGCGTGTAACCACCACCTTCTCCTCATACAGAACCCACGACATGGGCAGCCTGTGGTCACAAAGCTAATATTCCAATGTTTCCTGCAAATGGCACTAGCGTCGCCGCCCGTCGTGCCACTGCGGGAAAGTTTAAACTCGTCGCAGTTGCTGTCCAGCTGAGCTGACCCAATCAGGAGGTGATGGACTCCTCCAAGACAGTGACAGTCGACAAGTGCAACAACCACGCTCTAAAACACGGAAAACAAATTCAGACTTGAAGCAACTCTGAATCTTCTTATCCATTGGATACATAACCCCCAAAGCAAGCAAGCAAAGCAGGCGAGGCAACCGACCGCGGGTGCTTGCCAAGCCAGCGTTGCATCCGGTCTTGTCTCTGATCAGCCACCAGACAAAGTTCCCGTCCGTCCGCACCACCCCTTGTCTTTTCCCTGTTCCTGTTTTCCTGTCAGGGTCATGGTTGCAAGGATCTTTCTTGTCCCTTGAAGTTGGCCCGCGGGTCCGGTAGGACTTTTGGTAATAAGTTGTCACTCGTCACTAACAACCGGCAACTCAAAGAGCTTTTTCCAAGCTCCAGCAACTCCCTCGACAACTCAACAACATTGACTCGTCATCTCTCATCATGTGCCGCAACTCCTCCCTAACTTAGTACCAGTACCCGTGCGGATCGCACCATCATCCAGGCACGCCGCTACCAATGCACCGTGCCTGAACGCCCCGCGCACGCAACTGCAACAGCCCACGCAATCCGCATTCAGGAATGACCTGCCTGCGCTAGCGAAATCCGCCGTATTACTCGCTGCAGCCTACATGCAACCTCCGGCCTCTCAACGGTGGCCTGCGGGGACACTTATGCACGATCCGATGCACCGGCGTCGCCCTTGCTCATGATGCAACGCAGTGGCTGAGAATTGGATGAAGAGCTTCTTCCAGTGGGAGGCGTTCCTGGACTCCTTGGCTCGTATCATGGCTGGTCTCGCTTGCCAGGCAAAAGCAATACGCAGTAATAAACTGACAGAGTGAATGGCAGCAACTCTGCTTCGCTCAACTTCCCTATTAGGCAGTTGGTTCTGGAAACCGACCGACGGCGTCCAGCTAGATCACTGCTAGTCCTCGCCGGAGCCTCGTTCTGCAGCTGGACTGGGTCGGCTTTCAGGCGAGTTGGTCATAGTAGACTTGATCAACTAACTCATTTCCTGGTTCAGTGACCCAACGTCATCAGTTGTCAACTGACTGCGAAAGAATGCGTGGCACCTACTGTTATGACGGATCGTCTCAGCACGGCGCATTCCAGCCAACCTCGTACAGTAGAGTAAACAAGAGACGCCTTGACCTCGTTCGTGCCAAAAAGAAACGTGCACTCGCTTGATTCCTCGGTGGCCAAGGTATCGCTGTCTCGCTGCCCAAAAGCAAGCGGTTCTGCAAGGGATCGGCCCGTGTTCTGTGCGCTGGTAATTTCTTTTTCGCCGCCGAACAGGGTAAAGAAAGTGGCCGGCATCTCGAACAACAGCCTCTGCCGTGGTGCGATTGCCGTCGCCTCTGTGCGCCTACCCGCCCGGCCAGGTGCACCCAGCTCAGCCCTCTGCGCACAGTCGTATTTGCTTTTTGTCCATTGTTCCGAATAGAGACATTGGGTTTGCTTTTTGATTGCAAGGATCCCGCCACGCCTGATCGGGAGATGACGGACTGCAAGGAGAGGACATAGAGATGATAATATCGCGACCACTTACAACTTTTTGAAGTCAGCGATAATGTTGACAACTTGAATTCGAAAGTTTTTTTTCTGCAATTTCCTCGAGCGCGCTGCACATGCCAACGGGCTTTCCTTTGCGTTGGCAAGGCTAAGAACCCCGGTCCCTCGGATGAGGCCGCCCGCTGCTGCCAAATTAAACAATCACGTCCTGAGAAGGCCGTCCCCTGTTAGCTTCCCGGTAGAGTGGTCGTCGCGTGGCACCCCGACAATTGGGAAGCATTCGACGTGAACTCTCGCGTTGTCAATTCATCAGGTCTCTTAAGCGCATGACGGTGCCTGCAGTATCCCGCTGCTCGCGGCTATTCGCATGAATAGCCAGCTGGCAGCTCGGATGCACAGGCCAAAAACAACAAAGCAGTATCCAGCACCAAGTAACCCACCTGCGTTAATTACAAGGCACTCTTCTTTTTTTCAACCTACAACCTGGCAGGTTCCCATTATTAGCGCGTTTTCAGCCTCGGTGTTTCCGAGCACCGTCAGTCAGCAGCTTCACAGGCGGTCTTCAGCTATACCCAGGGCGCGATATCACGCTGACCAGGGCCATGTTCTAGCCAGCTTCGAGGAAACAAAACGTTTTGGCATCAAGTCCGGGGCCGCCTCCGATGTCCTGACATGCGGCTGTCGGTGCTGGTGTTGACGATGGCGCCCGAGTTTCACGTCTCCGACACTTGGCATTATATTAGCAAGCTGTTATAGGAGGACTAGCATCATGCCAACGTCAGCTATAGACACCGAGTGACAGACAGTCTGGGGCCAACATTGCACCGTCCGATCCCGAGTGTCTGCGGCCGCTTGGCTGATACTGTTGCCTCTGACAAGCACGCAAGGCATATTCTAAGCAATACATAGATATGGCGGCCGCGTATTTGTAATGCTACTCGGGTGTGAATGACTCGGGCGTCATGCAGCATTGGGCCGTCTCGTCGTGCTGGCTCGTAAACAATGCGTCGATGTTTGCGTGGTATTATAGCTGAGCTTTGGACATACCCGACAGCCAGCCAACGGTCGCCCGCGTGGCGTTTGGCAACCGACGTGCGTGATAAGATATCGTCAGCATGGTACGTTGGAGCTGTAAGCCAATATCGCATGCCGCATTGTGCACAATTTCTTGTCGGGACTTGGCGTTGATGCGGGTAATTGTAATAGTGAAAAGTGTGCGTTTGTTTCCGCTGTTGGATTACGAGAGACTTGGCCCAGGTGCCTCAGGTAATGACCGCTCTCACAACTTATGCAACCCTGCAATACTGCAACTGTCGAGACTTAGTTGATAGAAAAGAGACGAGGAAGAAGCCAAAGTAGATCTTCTGCAATAATTTCTTTTAAGAGACTACCAAAATCAAAAACGGGTAAAAACATACAGCAGCCAGTTTTCGCAAGTCGTCACGGACCCAACTCGAGCCCTGGAGTCATTCCAGTGCCCGATGATAGCGCACGTCGACCGTCGATATGCACCAAACGCAACAGGAAGACGAAATGAGACTTACACACTCCGATTTCCGACGATGCTATCAACTATGTTTCTCAGCGGTTGCCCCAACTAAGTTCGTCGTCGTCAAAGAAGCATCAGGTCGTGACTGAATTTGCACCTTTGCAATCAGCAACATGATTCCGTTCTCAAGTTGGAATAGTTATACAATTGCGAGTGCACTTACTGTACATCTGATGGTTTATTAGACCAGCCATTTATCCGCATCCGCCTGGCCGTTGTCCGTTTCGCGACGGATGAAAGCACGCAGACTAATATTATTAAAGTTCTTACTACCCCTACTCCTACTACTACTTAGGATACTAAGTCTATTATATTAACCCTAACTAACACTTAAAACACTATTATCTTTAGTAGTAGTAGTTACTATAGTACTAGTTAGGACCTTATATTAATAGTGTCTTCTCTTAACTTAACCCTATCTAGAATCTATAGTAAGATCTAAGCTCAAAAAGAGCAAAAAAAAGATAAAAACATACAACAGCCGGTGTTCGCTGGTCGTCACCGACCCAACTACTAATCTGCCGATTAACAGCTTGTCTATGGGGGAGCAGACGGGATGTCTTGCACAGTAACAGGACCAACCGGAACCCGAAGTTTA